ACATGGTTTAGTCTTGGTTTGGTCCTGGTTTAGACCTGCTTTAGATCTACTTTAGGCCTGGTTCTGACCTGGTTCAGACCTGGTTCAGTCCTGGTTTAGACCTGGTTTAGACCTAGTTCAGTCCTGGTTTAGACCTGGTTTAGACATGGTTCAGTCCTGGTTTAGACCTCATTTAGACATGGTTCAGTAATGGTTCAGTAGTTTTTTAGAACTGGTTCAGTCCTGTTTAGACCTGGTTCAGTCCTGGCTTACACCTGATCCAGACCTGATCCAGACCTGATTCAGACCTGGTTCATTCCTGGTTCAGTCCTGGTTTAGTCCTGATTTAGACCTGGTTTAGACCTGGTTCAGTCCTGGTTCAGACCTGGTTCAGACCTGGTTTAGACCTGGTTCAGTCCTGGTTTAGACTTGGTTCAGTCCTGGTTTAGACTTGGTTCAGTCCTGGTTTAGACCTTGATTTCAGTCCTGGTTCAGTCCTGGTTCATTCCTGGTTCAGACCTGGTTCAGTCCTGGTTCAGTCCTGGTTAATCCTGATTTAGACCTGGTTTAAACTTGGTTTTGTTGAGTACCAGTACTTTGTTTACCAGTACTAGGTTTTCTATGCCAGTATCTGAACTAGGGATATCAAAAGTATCAAAACTCAGATACTAACTGATGCTAAAACTAGTATCGAAATTCATTTGAGGAGGTATTGATACTAAAAAAAACTATTCCATTGACAGGACAGAAATGAAGCTTTGCTGAATGTCTTTAGAATGATGTTGAGCTGTATCAGAACAAGTAGAAGAGCACATAGACTAGTACACACACAGACCACTATGGAACCTACTGGACGAGTATCTAGTCTATTCCAAAGTATCGAAATCGAGTGTGAAATTTTAGTATCGCAGGTTAGTATCACTCACCTGAACAGAACCTTCTCAGCCTGTGTTTTGATCATTACCTGTGTAGAACAACCAAACAGAAGTATTCATATCACTGAGGAAATACTGCAATTTTGTATTTTGTAGTAGTAGTAGTACCATTGTAGCACCTTACATTGGAATACGAAACATCTTTAAGTGATAGTATTTGAGTCCAGCTTGATTTTACACTTCACTAATTCACCAAAGTCAAAGTCAAAGTGAACTTTATTGTCAATCACACCATGTAACAGACTTTACACAGGGGGATCCAAACTGCATTTCCCCGAACTCCAAATGTGCAAATTAAAAACTCCAACACACACACATTACCACACACACGGAACATGAAATCTGCACAGACATCGAACACAAAATATACAAGCAGACAGACAAGGGACATTTCCAACAAGAACAGAAAATATGTAGCTATTTTAGATAAATAATGAAGGTGCAATATGTAAAGTGGATATAGGAATGAATTAAGTTGTTTTGGATGTAGTGGTTAACATGTTCATGGAATTTTCTTGAGTGTGTTGATTAGCCTGATGGCCTGTGGGAAGAAGCTGTTCCTGATTGTGTTGTACCGCATGCTGCGATCACCAATCACCAGTACTATTATTAATATTCTTTTTTTCAAGTTTGTGTTGTTGTAATTTACCTTTAGGCATTAATAGCCCAAGTGCTGTTAATACCAGTGTTTGTGCTTCTCTTACTCGATATGATTAATGCATTTTTGAATAGTTGTACTGTATTTTTTCGGACTAAGACGCACCGGATTATAAAACCCAATATCAAAAATGTTGAATTGTCTCGTCTATTTTCATCTGGTTCTGTCCTGGTTCAGTCCTAGTTTAGACCTGACTTAGTCCTGCTTTAGACCTGGTTTAGACCTGCTTTAGACCTGGTTCAGACTTGGTTTAGACCTGGTTTAGACCTAGTTCAGACCTAGTTTAGAACTGATTTAGACCTGATTCAGACATAATTTAAACCTGGTTCCGTCCTGGTTTAGACCTGGTTTAGTCCTCCTTTACATTTGGTTTAGACCTGGTTCAGACTTGGTGTATACCTGGTTCAGTCCTTGTGTAGACCTGGTGTAGACCTGATTCAGTAAGAGTTTAGACCTGGTTCAGACCTGATTTAGAGCAGATTTAAACCTGGTTCATTTGAATTGTCTCATCTATTTTCATACATAAAGTGCACTGGATTAAAAGGCGCATTAAGTGAAACAAACGGACGACACTTGAGACTGATCCTTAGTCCAGGTGTCCACGACCTATCGGCAGATCGTGGTGTAACTCACCCGGCGTTAAGTTTGTTTTTTTTATTTCCTACGAGGACGACTCAAATATACATTGGGTAATAATGTGCTTCATGCAGCTTTGAAACATTTGTTAACATTTTACAGAAATTAAACTTAAAACCACATGGCTCATTTGCATAAACTATAAGCACTGAAAAAAACTCGCTCGCTCCTTGTTGCAGACCCATAAATCAGAAACAACGGCGAGAAGGCGACGGCGGCAGTGTGCGTTGAGTCGACACAGAACTATACTTTAAGAGGCTCCTGACTATGGTAGCCGTAACGCTCCGACAATCCATCAAGCGGTGCAGCTTCGTAGCTACCAAAGTTGTACTAAAACATTTTGACAGATTTTTGAGCGTCATGTAGCACATAAAATCGGTTCAAGGTCAGTAAACACAACCAGAATGAATACATAAGGCGCACCAGATTATAAGGCGCACTGTCGATTTTTGAGAACATTAAGGATTTTAAGTGCACTTTATAGTCCGAAAAATACGGTAACTGACAAATTACAAACTACTTGCGTAATATAATGTCCTTTCTGAAAACAAAATGTCCCCGTGTCTTCATGAGGTCTTATTCTGCATGTTCAAAACCTGCTCCCCCTGTAGTTTAGACCTCCACAAACATGTTCTGAAATGTCCTTTTTGTGTCAGATGCCCTTCCTGAGCTCTTATTCCGTGTAAAACCTGCTCCTCCTGTAGTTGAGACGTCCACAAACATGTTTATTCAGTAGGAGCAGTTCATATCAGTGGACTTGTCAGAGCACTGCAGCGAGCCCTTTCCCCTGTTTCTGCGGCTGCCGTGGAGTCGACAGCAGGCTTCTTAATCAGATAAAGACGTAATGTAAACAGCCGCGCTCCACATGTGCTGAAGGTTGCGATCCGACGTTCGTTCTATAAATATCTGCTCCATCTACACAATCAGGCGCGCACAATCACGCACACGCGCACACACAGGGATGAGGTAGTGTCCCGGGACAGGCCGCCTCTCTGACTCTGAGTGAGTGTTTGGCCCGGGGCTGGATGTCTGTCTGTAGCAGCGCCGAGGCTCTGCTCCATAATGCACCGCCGTTAGCCCTGCCTCCACCTTAGACCTCGTTTGTAAGCTCCGCCCACAACCTCAGACCTCAGCCATTAGCCCCGCCCCCAGACCCAGACCTTGCAATTCCCTGGTTTGTGTCAGAACCGGATTTAGATCAGTCTTGCAGCCCTACTGGATATAATGTTGCTCAAGTAGAAGTATAAAATATTGGTCCAAGGAAAACAGAAGAGTAAAAAGTATGTGATGTTTTGATAGAAGGATAATAAATAATGCACAATGTTCAAATCAACTACGACTTTTACTCAAGTAAGAGTACTGCTACACTGTACTTAGACTTAGACAAACTCTATTTCTCTATTTCTGATATTTAATTTCAAGTTTATTTTGACCTGTCTCTTGCTGTCTTTTTTTGCTACTTATTGATAATGTATTATTATTTACAATGTATTATTACCATTACCTTTTTGTTATTATTTTGTGATGTGTGAGCTACTGTGTCCAAATAATTTCCCTTGTGGATCAATAAAGTTTTTCTAAGTCTAAGTCTAAGTTTAAAGTTTATTTCAAATAAACACCAATCAAGAACAGTCACTGTGACTATTTCAAACTGCTTAGTGCGCTACTTCCTGATTCTCATCATGGAGTTCAACAATGACTTTCTAAAACATGAAAGTAAACACATATATAAAAGAAGAGGACATGTTTGTCCACAAAACAGCAGCGATTTTTCAGGTAAGTCCTATAAACCAGACAGAGTAACATATCAAAACTGAAATAGGCACAGTGATTCTTGTTTGGTGTTATTTGAAATAAACTTAAAAATAAGTACTGGAAATAGAGGTCAAAATCAGTTTTTTGTTTGACTCTAAAATGGAAAAATGAAATAAGAAACTCTTTTTCCATTTTATTGTTTCTCGTTCTTAATTCCATGTATCCATTTTCTTCCGCTTAGCTGCTCCTCTCGACGTGGAGGGGCAGCGGCTCTACTCCGAGCTCCTCCCGTGTGACTGAGCTCCTCACCCTATCTCTAAGGGAGTGTCCAGCCAGCCTGCGGAGGAAAGTCATTTTCGACTACTTGTATCTGCAGTCTCGTCCTTTCGGTCATTACTCAGAGCTCATGACCATAGGTGAGGGGAGGAACGTAGATTGACAGTAAATTGAGAGCTTTGACTTGCGGCTCAGATCCCTCTTCACCGCAACAGTCCGATACAGTGACCGCATCACTGCAGACATTCTTAACTAAAATTCAAAAGAACGAATGGTACATGGACCTAACAAACTAGCATGATTGACACAATTTTGGTAAATGACTCAAATGAAAGACCTCATCCACAAGCCTTTGACTTTATTAACTGCATTCAAGAGGAAATCAACATGAGTGAGATTAAAGGGCCCATATTGCACTATTTTTCTGATCTATATCTTATAATGATGTTTCCTCATCACAAACAGACCTGGAGTTGTGTTTTGTTTCATTCATACGTTTCTAAGGAGGTAACAACATTAGAACATGGTTTAAAGCTCACAAGAGTCCATTTTGTGTAATATAAGACCTTCAAAAATAAAACGATAACCTTGATTGGAGTAGGCCTAGTGCTGACCCATTTTAATCTGTTTACTTGAGAGTTGAATAATAGGCTGTTCAGACCCATTTTATATATGTATTGAAATTCCACCCAAAATGTCACTGGATCGCCGTTTTGATATAGAGCCTTTGAGATTGAACTTTTCTGTGCTTTGTTTTCCAGCGACATCAGACGGGACACGCCAGGGCCTGGACAGCATGAGGGGAGGAGTGTGCGCCACGCAGGGCATGAAGGTGGTCCTCAAAGTGGGACAAAGTAAGTGTCCTGTGTCTTATATCCAAATGTCCACCACACAAATATTCAAAAACACATCCACGTGTACAGTACAGGGCCTCAGGGTGGTCCTCAAAGTGGGACAAAGTAAGTGTCCTGTGTTCAAATGTCCACTGGGATTGAAGATGGTACTCAAAGTGGGACAACGTTAGTCCAATATCCAGTGTCCAAATGTTCCCAAACACAAATGTCCACCAGACAAAAGTCCACAAACACATCCATATGTACAGTACAGGACATGAAGGTGTTCCTCAAAGTGGGACAAAGTTAATCCACTACGTTCAAATGTCCACACATAAATGTCCACAAACACATACACATGTACAGTACAGGGCCTGGAAGTGGGACAAAGTTAGTCCACATTGTCCAAACATCAAATGTCCACCACACAAAGGTCCACAAACACAGCCACATGTACAGAACAAGACATGAAGATGTTCCTCAAAGTGGAACAAAGTAAGTGTCCAATGTCCAAATGTACAAAAGTCACAGTCCACATAGTACACAAAGTCACCAAAACAAAAGTACAACAAAACAATGTCACATCCACATGTACAGTGCAGGGTGTGAAGGTGGTCCACAAAGTGGGACAAAGTTCTCTGTGTCCAGTGTCCAAATGTCCACCACACAAAGTCCTCAAACACATCCACAGGTACAGTGTAGGACTTGAAGGTGGTCCTCAATGTGAGGCAGCGTTAGTCCACTATGTCCAAATGTTCCCAAACACAAATGTCCACCAACACATCCACATTTACAGTACAGGGCTTCAAGGTGGTCCTCAAAGTGGGACAAAGTAAGTCTCCTGAGTCTAGTGTCCAAATATCCACCATACAAATGTCCAGTACGTATGTCCTCATAAATGAACAGTCCACATCATGAAGAGCGCCCGTAAAAGCCTGTATGAAGTAATACTCAACGGTGGATAAAGTAACTCTTCTGAATCCAAATGTCCACTCAGATTTCACACAAATGTCCAGTCCATAATGTGTCCTCAAACTGGGACAACCATTATTCTTCTGTCTCCTGCCTGGGGAATCCTAAAATTATTAATTATTTCTTTTTGTCACATGAAGCCCAAATATGCCTCAAACATACTTTCATGATGAATTGTATTTTTTGGCTTAGCAGAAATACGGCGGGACAGACCGAGCTAACTTATGAGTCTGTAGTGTGCTAGGCTAGCTGGACACGCATTTCTTTGGGTCTCACGTCTCCCTGATGCACGTTATCCTATGTCCATGATTCATTGTGTTTTGTGGTTAATCAGTGTGGTGACCGGATGGATAAAGCTACTGTATCTCGTAGTCTTTTAGCATCCTAAGCTAACAGAAAGCACATTTTGTTTGTGGCGTGATGAGACCCAGATACGTCTGCACTCATCATGATTCGTTGTGTTTCTTGGATGACCATTGTTGTGACAGGACGGACAGAGCTAGCTTGTAGGCCTAAAGCATACTAGGTTAGCTGAAAGCACATTTTGGAAGGTTATGATCAGGTTTTTTGAGTATCCCGGTTTCGTCATGGTGCATTTATACAGTTTCAGTATCCCAATTATGGCAGTATCCTGGTTATGAGAAACCTGGATACTGTAACTGGTATATTCTGATAGTAACTGGGATACTGTGGCATGTAAACGCAGTATCCTGAATACTGCAACATAAATTTGAGTGTGCATGCGTTCAAAAGACAAATACTTTTCAGTCTTTTCACCACAATAGTGACATAAATAAAGTGACCAACATAAATAAAGTGACCGTACATGAGTGAAATGACTGCACTAAATCTGCACTCGAATCTGCACTCGTATCATCGCTGAAGAGTTAAACATGAAACATCTCCTATACGATATACGCACAGAACAGACTCACCGTCATAAGCCACTCCTCTGTCACAGAAAAAACACACATATATTCCATTGAGTCATGTCCTTTAGTCCGACAGAAGGTGATCGCATCAGTGGCACAAGGAGCTAGCACTTTTTAATCACCGCTAACAGTTTATGCAAATGAGCCATGTGGTCTTAAGTTTTGTGTCAGTAAAACTTAAACAAATATGGCAAAGCTGAATTATATGATCAAATGGGCTGATGTGGTTATGGTTTATATGTTATAAAGCTAAGTTTATTTCTGCAGAATATTTTAATTAAAAAATCTACACGTTGGGTTTGATCTGTGCAGTGGATTGTAGGATATCTCGTAGCTCCTCACCGCCGGTTAGAACCTCTGGAGCTTCCTGTGCTAAAGGAGCTCATGGTTGTTTGTATTTTTCCTGGTTTATTAACTTAAATTAAGTTAATTTTTGCACTTGCACATTTGTAAGATTATGTCAGGAAACCGGGATACTCCATTTGATCATGTATACACGAATATGAGTATCCTGGTTTCTCAGGGCGCATGCAGTCGCAGTATCCCGAATACTGACCTAACCAGGATATGGTTAATAACCGGGATACTGATGTGCATGTATATGCAATCATTGTGTTTTTTGGTTGACCAGTTTTGTGGCGAGGTGGCTTGAAGGCCTGTAGCGTGCTAGGCTAGCAGAAACCGCATTTCATTTTGTCACATGAATAGATTGTCTCTACTTTCCATCATGTGGTTTTTGTTTGACCAGTGTTGTGGCAAGATTACAGTGACCAGACGTCCCTGTTTACCCAAGACAGTTCCAGATTTGAGCCCTGTGTCCCCTGTCCCGAAGAGTGTTGGTCTGCAGCGTGGGCGTTCCAGACGTGCCACAGAACCTCTCTAATGGGCGTTTGTTACATCCCAGGTGGATCAAACATATTAACACAGGAGGCAAAAAAGTTACAAAAGCAAAAGCTGATTTTATTTTTAAGTTAATTTTATTTTACTTAAAAAACAAACAAAAAAAACAAACAAACGCTAAAACCCCTCTCGTGCCCAGAAACAAAGTAACAACTGAAAGGGGGACCTGGTGAGCCGGCCAAACAGAACAAAATGATGTGGCACCGGGTCGCCCCGTACAGGGCCGTGGAAGCCGGTGCCGACATTGCTAAACTAAAGGAAAAAAGATATCCCCAAAACTAGCCTTACCAAACAAAAGGCGAAAACAGGACAGCCGGTCCCACCATGTCAAACACAAAAGGCTAACAGGTAACAGGCATGGTACAAGGTACACATAGTACACATGCACCCAGCAGCCAAGGGAGTGTGCAAAGCGACAAGTGCACGCCCAGGGGAGCGGACGGCGAGGCGGTGCGCAGCAAGAGCGTTGGAGCCCGAAAGCGCGCTACTGTTTATACTCGAACCAGCCACCCCACAAAACATACATAAATATAAAAAATACACGCAATGGGATGCACAAAGGTGCACCAGCATGTAACAGCGTTCCTGTAGGGTATAATCAACCAGTCAGAAAGAGTTGGCACTTGTCCGCTTTTTCTCAGTAAAACTCTGAAGAACCAAGTTAAGAAGTTAGTTAACGATAGCACGGCATGAGTCTTGACGTTAGCTACTGATAGGCCACATAGCCGTAGTTCTACACTAACCCTAACCCTAACCCCAACCCTTACTACGCGACCTTCAATGCTAATGTCAATGTACAACTCTTACTTCAAAACTTACAAATCTTACTTTGACATATGTGTTAGACCAGATGTTGACAGTGGTGGAGGCATTCCCCATTTATGTTCCACAGAGCGACGATATTGCCTGTCCCAGTTTTTTATTTTAAAATTCTAGTCAACCTAGACAAGATGGACAGAGCTAGCGTGTAGGCCTATAGAATGCTAAGCTAGCTGGGGGAAAACAAAACAGAACGAACATGTGTTTTTGTTGCGTGATGCCCACATGCACTTTATCCGACGTGCATGACTTGTTGTATTTCTTGTCTTACCAGTGATATGGTGAGATGGGTTGAGCCACTTTTTAAGACGATAGCAGGTTAGGCGAACTGAAGACACATTTCTTTTGTCTCATGATGAAACCCAGATACATTTTTACTAGTGTGACCAGAGTTTCAAAATCCAAAACTGGGACACCCCTGGATTGTGGTGGCTGGCAGTAATAAAATTGTGAAACTAGTGCGTAATTAAGAAAAAAAAATGTTATGCACTTGGCCCATTCATTGACATATTTATGACTAACATGTGAGTCAGTATAGTCACATTTTCTTTGTGTTTTGGTCATTTTTTTTAGCTGCTTTTCTGTATTTTACCTGACAATTGTATTTCTACAACTCTTATTGAAATACTCATATAGAAATATACAATGACTTTTTACAATTGAGTTTAAAATTCATATAAACTGCAAAAAACAACTTTGGTTTAAAGACTTGAAATGACTTGACTTGGACTTATGGGCCAGTGATTCGAGACTCAACTTGGACTTGTCTGTATTTGACTTGGGACTAGACTCGGACTTGAGGTCAAAGACTTGAGACTTATTTGAGACTCGCAAAATAACGACTTGGTCCCACATTTAAATGACAATATATGTTTCTCTTTTCTGTTGGCAGGTTTCAAATTGGTCCAAAATAGGGACACCTGGGACATTTCTTGTATAAAACTGGGACAAATCACTAGTTTTGGGTAAATCTGCTGGGACAGGGGACACAGAACTCAAAACTAGGACTGTCCCGGGTAAACAGGGACATCTGGTCACTCTAGGCTTTTACTTACCATCGTGACTTATTGTGTTTTTGGTTGACCAGAGCTGTGGCAGGAAGAACAAAACTAGCTTGCAGGCATATAGCGTATTTATTTATTTATTTTTGTCCCATGAGGCCCAGATATGATTTAATTCACCACCAAAATTAACTGTATTTATTGGATACTCAGAGTTATGGCAGGATGGACAGTCTATAGCATGCTAAGCTGGCATAAACCACATTTGTTTTTGTTGCATGAAGCCCAGAAATGTGCTTTCACTTATTGTGCTCGGGACTCGGGGGAAAAACCCACCTCCACCTCGAAAACAGTGCAACGGAACAGCCAATCAAAAATAAAATAGAAAAATAAGTAATAAACAAATCTCCGTTATATACAAAAGGCCACAGGAAAACATAGGTGAGTTTTTGTACAGTTGTAGGGAGTATTATCTGTTACATAAAGGTGAGTTGTTGTACAGTTGTAGGGAGTATTATCTGTTACATAAAGGTGAGTTGCTGTACAGTTGTAGGGAGTATTATGTGTTACATAAGTGTGAATTGTTGTACAGTTGTAGGGAGTATTATTAGTTACATAAGGGTGAGTTGTTGTACAGTTGTAGGGAGTATTATCTGTTCCATAAGGTGAGTTTTTGTACAGTTGTAGGGAGTATTATCTGTTAGCGGAGCCTGTAGAAGCCCTGGTTATTGTTGTAGCGTGTTCATCTAGCAGAAACCACATTCGATTTGTTTTTTTGTCACACGACGAGCCCCAGATCCATCTTTACTCACCGTCATGATTCATTGGACTTATTCGCTGACCGTTGTTGTGGCAGGATGGACAGAGTTAGCTCGCGTGGCGTGCTAGCTGCCTCCCCGGTGTGCCCGCGCGTCCGTTATCTGTAGCAGCGCTGAAAGGTCACGTCCGCCTGTTTGTCGTCTAAATAAGTGTGCACCGGGCTGATCTCGAGTCAGATAGAGCACACTGCACGTCTACACACGTCTACACACAAAAAAGCTAACCCGAACACAACCGCTAATGCCGCTAACGCAACACTAAGGCTAATCATGTAAGCGCCGCAAATAATGTCATCATTTTGGACAATTGGAAATAGAATAAAAAAACAATGTTGTTAGAGGTCGCCGGTAATAAGGTTTTGAGGGGAAAGCGTAATGAGGTTTGGAAGAGAAGAGGGCAAAAATAAAATGCAATAGAAGATTCAAATTGACTCTTTCAACCATTATGCAAAAAAAAAAAAAATAAAATAAATAAAAGGTTTAAAGGCTCAGCATGGAGCTTTTTGGAGGTGGCATTTTATCTCCATGGGGATAGATACATTTTGACATATTTTGGAATACTATAGCCAGAGGGACAGGATTTCCATGGCGACTCATTCAGGCCAAATAAGAGTCAGGTTTGTGGAGCGGCGAGCCTGATCACAGTAAAGACCAGAGGTGGGGATTTGAAGTCGTGACTTTGATTTGAGTTAGACTTGAGTCGCTATTTTTAGGACTTGATGCTTGACTTGATAAAATGGACTAAGACTTTGGACTCGTCTTGGACTTGAAGGTCAGTGACTTGGGACTTGATTCGGACTTGAGGCCTGTGACTTGAAGACTTGATGCTTTTGCTAAAAATATATATGTTTTTGGAAAATACTTTTCTCTTTACAGTTGATAAATGTGGTACTTAATTTTAAAGGAATAAACTGGAACATGTCACTCCCACTTCTCTGTTTGTTACTTTGGATGTAACTGAAGTACTGTGATATAGTACGCTCAAATGTACTACAGTAATATGCAGTACAATACAGTAGAATACAGTAATATACAGTACAATACAGTAAAACAGAGGGAACTACACAGAACATGATTGTTCCATTTCAGTGCAGACTACATGACAAAATAACTGTTATTTAGCACTTTTCTGAATCAGAAATCTGAATTATTTCTGTTCTGACTGTAATAATTCACACTAACATCTTGTCAAGACGTTTAAAAAGGAAAAATGAGCATTTCTACAACTCTGTAAACACTCATATATAAATATTCCATGACTTTTTAACTACAATTTAGCTTTAAATTCAAATAAATTGCAAAAATCTAAGCTGTATTTGGATTTAAAGACTTGAAATAACTTGAAGCTCAAAGCAAACGACTTGGACTTGACTTGAACTTGAAAGCCAGTGATTCGAGACTCGACTTGTATTTGACTTGGGACTTGACTCGGATTTGAGGTCAAAGACTTGAGGTGTACAAGACAACGACTTGGTCCCACCTCTGGTAACGACGCATGTTTTTCAAGTGCAAAAACAACCGTAATGACAAAACTCGCTTTTGTTTGAGTCTGTGTCTAAAATTTTTGGCTAAAAAGTTGCATACTGTGGCTTTATTTCTTTCTTTCTTTGGTTTATTTATTTATTTCTAATTATTAATCATAAAAATATATATTACATTACAAAAAATTCAGTCCATAATTACATTTTTTGAGATTTATTTAAAGTCAGCATATCAGTATTTCACATGTTTTTACCACATGCATTTTAAACAATTTGTCATTTTTCACTGCCATAAGCTATTCATTTAAATGCACTCTTTCTCCCCTCTACCATCCTCCCATCTCCTTCACCGCTGCAGCAAAACCACCGGCCTCCCCACCCTCTCCATCTCCCCCCACCACCCCACTTGTCCTCATCTGTTTTAAGTTGCTGCCGCTTTCCCCATGCTTACATTTTATTTTTGTTTGATTTTTTTGTTCATAGGTCCATATGGGCTACCTCCGAAAAAACAAGACCCGCCTCCGCGCTCCAACAACCGAAACTCAGGTAACGCATGAGGAGATGAAGACGAGGGGGGATGAGAATCAGTGGAAAAAACCAAAACAGAAAAGCGAGTCTAAGTTTAGAGCGGTGGTGCGACAGATGGACGTGTGCGCCGCGACATCTGTGTTGCTTTTAAATGTGCTTTTAACTCCAAATGGATGGTTTAGGCACAGAATGGGCTCAGCTTCCACAACAGTACCCAGAGTCGTATATCAGGCTGCATGTAGCCTACTTTTACTAGTTCACATGAGGACAAATATACGCTCTTGGAAATATAGGCTAATAGACATGATGTAACTAGGAACAATCTCACGGTAGAATTTGGTTTCGGTGAAAGAAGAACTCAATTTTTGTTACTTAAATTAGAAGCACAGATTACATAGCAAAAAAAAAATCTACTGAAGTAAAAGTACTGGTTTAAAATGTACTTAGAGAGTGAAATGTAAAAGTATTTTCTGCATTTCTGACATCAGTTAAAGTGTCTATCTTACACAAAATTGATTATAATGTTGTTTACACATCAAAAATATACCCAGAGTTGTGTTTTGTTTCGTTCACAATTTTTTTTTGTAATCCTGGTTTATTAAGTCTACATCTTAAACAGCTACCCTTTACCTCTGCTTCAGTATAAATTGGAAATTCTGGGGCCACCTTAGTGAAGGTGAGAAGCACTTCCTGCCAGAGTTGGGGACTTGTAAGTCGTGACTTGGACTCGAGTCAGACTCGAGTCACTATTTTGAAGACTTGAGACTTGACTTGATAAAGTGGACTAAGACTTGGGACTCAACTTGGACTTTAAGATCAATGATTTGGGACTTGACTTGAGGCCTGTGACTTGAGAAGACTTGATGCTTCTCCTAAAAATATATGTTTTTAGAAAATACTTTTCTCTTTACACTTGATAAATGCAGTGCTGGATTTTATAGGAACAAACTGGAACATGTCCCTCCCACTTCTCTGTTTGTTACTTTGGATGTAACTGAAGTACTGTGATGTGGTATCCTCAAATGTACTACAGTAATATACAGTACAATACAGTACAATACAGTAATACACAGTACAATACAGTGAAACAGAGGGAACTACACAGTGCAGACTACATGACAAAATAACTGTTATTAAGCACTTGGACTCAAGTCAGACTTGAGTTATTATTTTTAGGACTTGAGACTTGACTTGATAAAATGGACTAAGACTTGGGACCCGACTTGGACTTGAAGGTCAATGACTTAGAACTTGTGACTTGAGGCCTGTGGCTTGAGAAGACTTGATGCTCCTCATGTTGCTTCCACTTCTCTGTTTGTTACTTTGGAAGTAACTGAAGTACTGTGATATAGTATGCTCAAATGTACTAGAGTAATATACAGTACAATACAGTACAATATAGTAAAACAGAGGGAACTACATTTCAGTGCAGACTACATGACAAAATAAGTGTTATTTAGCACTTTTAACTCTGAATTCTTTCTGTTCTGACTGAAATGATTCACACTAACATCTTGTCAAGACGTTTAAAAAGGAAAAAATAGCATTTCTACAACTCTTATAGAAATACTCATATAGAAATATACCATGACATTGGTTTTACACTTTGTTTTAAAATTCATACAAATTGTAAAAACCAAAGCAATATTTGGTATCAAGACATGAAATGACTTGAAGCTCAAAGCACTTGAACTTATGGGCCAGTGACTTGAGACTGGACTTGGACTTGGGACTTGACTCAGACTTGAGCTCAAAGACTTGAGACTTACTTGAGACTTGCAAAACAACAACTTGGTCCCACCTCTGCTTGCTGCATTATCACGACATCACAAGGTGGAACAGAGGGTTTTCGTTTTGAGGGAAGAAATAAATGTGCAGGGTTTGTGTGTTAAACATGTTCGAATGAAAAAAACAAAACAAAACCCACAACTCGGGGTCTGTTTGTGATGAGGAAACGTCATAAGAACAGATCAGAAGCTTAACGTGGTCCTTTTTAAAGCTGCAAATGTGTTGGTTTTGATCAAGATTTGAATTTTGTTGTTTGTACAGAAACAACTGAATCTGTCTTTTTATTCTCGCTGCTTTTATTTGTACATTCTTTGCTCAAACTATGAACATGTTGAAAATAAACCCCCTCAGCCTTTTCAGCAAGTCTCGAAAAATCATAAAATATATACTTTACTTTTCAGTCCCCTTAAAAAATGTAGTGGCGCAGAAAGAACACATAGCCTTTCTCAAATATAGTGAAGTAAAAAGTATCCTTTAAGTAAAATACAATACAGTACTTGACAACTTTTACTTTGTTACGTCCCAACGCTAAAGATATGTCGATCAAGAAGCACGTGAGGTCAAAATAAATGAAAAAGAAAAGAAAAATGAGGCGTCTGACAGCAAGTTCCGGACAGATAATCATTGTCAACAAAATGAAAAACGTTCACGCCGGATCCAAATCCAGTTTTTCATAAATGCTAATGCTAACGTTAATTTGAACATGATGAATATTAAAAAAGCGCCACAAACTCAACTCATCTACATATGAAAAACAATTGGGTTGTTAGACTAAAAGTGTACCCTGTTATTTATTATTTATAAGTTTTCATTTAGATTAGCATTAGCTTCCAGACAAAAACGTGTTATTATTAAACCAAAGTGTCCTCAAGTGAAGTATTCAAATCGTACTTTTTAACATTTTCTCTGTGATTATTGCCATCAGAACAAAAGGAAAAGGGTGTTATGCAAAATTGCCTTTTTTTTTTTTTTTTTTCTTTCTACCGTGTTATTACGTTGTTTCTTCAACAAAAACATGTCTGATGAGGTTATTCATGCATGTTTGAGTCATCTAGCGAGCTCCAACCCATGCTCCAACACGACAGTTCTCCGTAAATGTACATAAGCATGATACAAAACTGTACACAACAGCTTCCAGGGTTCCCACGCTTTTTCACTGACAAAATTTCAAAACTTTCCATGACTTTTTCATGTCCTAAAGTGAATTTTCCATGACTTTACAGTACTTACATGTGTAGAATTGATCAGACTTTTTGGGCTAAATATGAAATGTTAACACTTTCCACTAGGGGAGTAAGAAAAAATCCATTCAGTGATATATCATCATACTTCATTGCACTATTCTCAAATTGATTCAAAATGCATCTGAATTGATTTAAGGAAAATATATTTTTCACTAAAATTCATTAGTTGCATTCACTGTTCTCATGATTTAAAAAGGTAATAATTTATATTTCATACAAATTGATTCTTGGGAAAGTGTAGTTCACAATATTATTGCAAGTAATTATTGATAAATTATATAAAAATATATATCACAATATATCATTGTTTTAATATTGAGATATATCGTGATATATTAAATCGTGACGTGCGATTCATGATATGAGCCCGGTCAAGCAGAAGTAAACATCAAGGCCAAATATTCAAATTAATTCATCTGATATAAAAATTTATTGAACAGATACATATGTACTCTAGTTTATGAAACTGTTGACCTTTTTTCTGTACCATTTTTGGTTCTAAAGTTCCATATGTTTTAAACAGACCATGTATGAAACATGGAACAAAAATTATTTCCCAAATTTCAAAGACCTGCAAATCATGTCAATAAATGGATGTATTTCATCATATCTTGTGTTATTCCATCTTTGAACTGTTGATTAAGGTACATGATTTAAAAAAAAAAAAAAAGGATTTAAAATGATAAAAAATTGCTTGAAAGGACTGACATATTTTATAGAAATAGTTTCCTTTCATTTTGAAGTAATATTAAAGTATTTGGAAGAAAAAAGTTGACAAATTATGTAAAATCCTGCACCTTCTACTTGTTTGTACAATTTTCCCTCTGTTACTTTTCCCTCCGTTACCATGACCTTTCTTAATAAAAAATCTCATGACTCAAAAAGTAAGAGGTTTTTCAACCTAATCTTGTACCATATGGTAGAAAACTATATGAAGCAAATATTCAAACCAGTTTGTTAAGGATATGGAAGTGAGAACCAAGAGTTATCACTGTTTGTATTTATTGCCCAAAAAGTGCTGCATATTTCATTCCCTCCGTTACCGACATGAGTTTTTAAATTTTTTGTCAACAACTTGAAAGAATATCACAGGTTTAACTTGACCCTGTTGGAGTGTAACTCTTTCCTACATTCTGATACTTTACTTATTTCAATAGTCCCTCTAGTTTCTGAATAAGAGACATTTAAATGTCAAAAATCTGCCCCTGTTTCCCTCCGTTACCACTTGACCGGACCCATATATATCGTATCGCAGACTCAAGGCAATGCACACCCCTACTGTCCACTCACCTTATGGTTTGGGATTATAGTTTTTAACATTCAAAATCCTGTCAGTGCATTTATTGTCGTCTCTTTTAAACAAAAGGCGCAAACGTTCAGAAATAATCAGAATAACCTCATGAGATTTTAACAGAACACTGTAGTTGTGTGAAAGAGATACTACAATTCCATGACTTTTCCAATACTTTAATTGAATTTACAAAATTCCATGACTTTTCCAGGCCTGAAAAATAACATTATCAATTTCCATGACCTTTCTAGGATTTCCATGACTGTGGGAACCCTGAACTTCACAAACCTGATGTGATGTGCAGTAGTTTCATTAGCAGGAAGCTGGTTAGCTGGTTGTGTTGTGACAGCGCTCTGAAGGGGGAGTGACTTAGCTGTGTCAGAGGGGAGCAAAGGGAATTGGGACTCAGTGTCAAAAACGAAATTGAAACTTATAAAACATTTTAATACGTTGTTTTTGGCAAATATAGCATTTTGAAAACAGTAAAAGGTAACATAGTGATCCAAATATGTTACGTGTTCGCAGTTTGTCGCCTTAGAAGTAAAATTGTTCTTTCCCCTCTATAAAAAGTCTGTCTATTTTCATGTAACTGCACAAAATAACCCAATATTGGACACTTTGCGAGCACCAGCCCGCCTCCCTCTGCCTGCCTCTTTCTCTCGTCGTAATGAATGGAGCTGTACTGGGATGGGGCACGTTTACAGCTCTCACACTGAGCTGGGTGGGTTGGGGTGGGCAGGAGGAGGGGTATTAGCTGTGCACCGCTCCACACAGCCGCTCCACAGGACACAGCACCGCGGGGGGCATATGAGGCGCGCTCCATTCGCTCACCTGCACTGGGGGGACGGAGGCTGGTTATTACGGCTACAATAACCTCCAGTCTGACTCAACCACGGAGCAAGAGCGCCAGGTCGGGGGGGATGTGTGCCCGGAATAATGATGGACCAATCCAGAGCGCCGTGCTGGAGATAGTGGCATTACCGGTCTTAACCAGTCCACCCCATACACCGCACACACACAAGCTCGCCTCCGCGCGGCTCCACCCGCCCCTGCCCGCCCCGTCGCCCGCGGTGACGGCTGCTCCGGCTGTGAGGATCTGAGGCGGGCGCGGGCACACAACGAGAACACAGCATCGGCAGACAAGCTCCAGGAAGAGAGCGTCTGACAGCCTACAGGCCCACACGATGTGCTCTCAGTCAAGGCCACAGTCTGCAAACACATGCACGCCTCTGGGGTGTACACAGGATTACTCACAGGCTCAATAAGATATGAAGAACATGCACAAGGCCTTTGCTGTTCAGATATTTCTCATAGAGCCGTGTCAGAGGTGGACAGTGTTGTGCTGTTTGCTGCTCTCATTCCATGTGCTCACTGTCATGTTTGTGTGTTACAGGTGGCTCAGGGAACAACACTCAGTCCAGAGGCACCCTGGAAGACGGGGGGAACGGGCCTCTGCAGCCCTCTAACATCGCCCTGATCGCGGGGGCCGCCGGGGGCTCGGCCTTCCTGCTGCTGGTCACTGCGGTCATCTGTGTGGTGTGTTACCGACGGCGACACGCTAAGCACTCGGACACACACCACCCGCCTCTGTCCCTGTCCTCTCTGACCAGCCCCAAACGGGGCGGAGCCGGCGCCCTCTCCAGCTCCAACAACAACGGCTCCGAACCCAGTGACATCATCATCCCGCTGCGGACGTCGGACTCGGCCTACTGCCCGCACTACGAGAAAGTGAGCGGGGACTACGGCCACCCCGTCTACATAGTGCAGGAGATGCCCCCTCAGAGTCCTGCCAACATCTACTACAAAGTATGAGGACAGCCCTGTGTGGACTGGCCGGTCCCTGTGGACCTGCCACACTTAGAATGAAAGCATCACTTGCCTTTCCCCAGAGTCCTCTGGACTCCTGCACACCTGATCCTACGGTTCCTCACAGCGGGCAGCGGACTGAAGGGCGGCCCTGTTTTAGGGGGCAGCCCCTTTGCCCTAAATCCCCCTCCTAATGAGCCCCAGGCCAGCCTTTTATACAGACTCTCCCTGGCACTGGGTTCTGAAGGGCACTTAGAGCACCAGGACTACACCTGCCTAGCCCCGCCCCCGGGAGCTCTTATGGACCAATCAAACCCCAGCCCTCACCAATAACTCATCCGTAGGATTCGACTTTGTTCTGTTTGGTTTCTCTGAGCAGACACAGGCACAGACTGGTCAACCAGCGGACATGTACATGTGACAGTGTGTGAGCAAAGTGGGTGTGTGTGAAGTTGCTGGGTGCCCGTGGTCTGATGGGTGCTCGTGGTTTGTGGGTGCCTGTGGTCAGTGGGTGCCTATAGCCTAATGGGTGCTCATGATCCGTGGGTGCCCGTGGTGTGTGGGCGAGTGGGCGTGCTGCGAGTGCTTGTGTTCTTTAGATTGTCTTAAAAAAACCAAAACACTAAATAGCGAGCATAAATGAGAAGAGTGAGATTTTCTATCACTATTGACACTTAGATTATATATATGAATATCAACTTTTTATTTTATTTTTGTTATCGTTGCATTTTTTACCCTCAGTCGTTTTGTTCCATTTTGTGTATTTCATAGAGCGATCGTGTTTCCGGTCATTAGTTGGACCATCTTGAGTTCCATTCCGACAAAGGCTCTCCTCGGGGTCTATCGGCCCTGTGTATATTTTTATAGCTTCTCGTTCTATGCCATAGTTTTGGATGTTTAGATCTTGTGGAAAAGTGTCGAGGTAGAACCCATCTACGAAAGTTTTGTTCGCAAACTTCTTTTTTCAAAACAGAATGCGCAGCAGCGTCGGCGGTGTTCAGATGGTCGGCGGGTGAGCAAAAAAATTGAAAACGGCGAATACTTTCCTAGTGACGGAGTTACACAAAAGGACTTAAGGAGTGCGCCAATGTTCTAAAGACTTTTGGAGTGGTCGCCCGCCTCTGTTCACAGACTCACAGAAGCTGGAGACCGGTCAGCTCCGCGGAGTGGCGAGGACCGCTGCTGCAGAGGTCCGGCCCCAATGTTCGTGTTGGCTCCACATTGCTTTCGTGTAGTGGTCTTTCTACCCAAATTGCCTAAGTGAGTGCGTCTGTGTACACCTGGACCTTATCTTACCTTAATGCATTTTGACCTGTTTTGTCTGTTTAACACATGAAGATGTTCTGTTTTGTACCATGGAAAGATGAGTTGTATTTAGACACCGATGTTTAGTAAGGCGGCCATGTTGTAATTTTTCTGTGTGCTGTTAAGTCTGTCTATTTAAACATTGCTCAAAGTACTTAACCCGGCCCAAGCCAAATGATTTGTCACTGCCTCCACCTCACAAACACAAACATGAGTATCTACAAAGGAAGAGAAGCGGCTTGGATTCAGAATTTGAATCTTGATTTCAGCAGATTTGAAAATTAGAGCTGTGAGATTCATCGAAATCACGGTTTGAATCGAAACAGCAAGCAAATAGCAAAGTCTGTGATGTCTGAAGTAACGTCATTTCCTTCACAAACAACAAAACGTTCCGTCGTAGGATACATTCAGACTACTGCCTGAAGTGACCCAAATCCGATTTTTTTTCGCCCCTGTGCTCCTGTATCTGATCTTTTAATCAAATTTTTTTAAATGTGACCCAGGACACTTGGATATGTGCTCCTAAAACCGATACATATCCGATCTTTTGACACGCGACTTCAGTCTGAACGGCCAAGGCGCATTCATCCGACCTACATGTCAGGCTTGGAGTCTCGTCAATGGAAGGAAAGTGAGGTTAGCGAGTTTATTCATATTTAGAAGGATCGCTGTATTCAGGACAAATTGGAAGCGTCTTATCAGAACCAGGTGGTTTTTGAAATGACTGCCAAAGAAATGTCCGAGTGCGGCTACAGACGGTCCTGGCTCCAGTGTCAACAAAAAAAAATAAAGAGCCTGTGAGCCAAATACAAGCAGGGTAAAGACTCAAACAAACAAAGTGGCCATGGACGTGTAACCTGTCCATTTTACCAAGAACTGGACCATGCTTTTGGAGACAAGCCCTCCGTTTAGGCGACTTCCATAAACACTGAGCACACTCGCCGCATCTGACGTCGTCGTGTCGCCAAGTGCACTTGCGGGGCACTTTTGGGGAGTTTAAAGTTCACTCTGGAGATCACGCACAAGTCGGATTTAATTGGAAATGTGAACGATCTCGTATTTCACAAAAAAATCCAAATTGAGCATTAAGCCCTGCAGTCTGAACATAGCTGTATAGTCCATAAAAACATCTAACCCTGTAGTTTACATCTATACAAAAATGTTCTGAAATGTGATTCTTATATTATTTTGTCAGTTCACATTTCAGTCTTTTTGTCAGCTGTTCTGAACATGTTGAAAATGTGAACTTTTAACTGAATCCTATTATTAAAACTTCACCATTTTGACAAGCTCCCGGCCGCCCCCCGAGACGGACTGATGAGCGATGTGGCGATGTGAATAAAGTGTCTCGTCCAAGAACACAAATTGATCACAACAAAATTCAGTTTATATAGCAGATCACTAACAGGATATGACTTCATGACTTCACAACAAGGTACAATATTTTAAAGTTTAAAAAAAAAAAAAAAAATCTACATTGTAAAAAGAAAAAAAAGAAAAAAGCTCAAAATTGCTCAAATCTCGATCAAAGTTTTGAATCCGAGCCCTTGGACCTCTTGTAGATATTCCAACGCGTTCCTCTACTTTTGGACTTGTTTTGTTTTCATGGCGTCTGTAGCTCTCTCTCTCTCTCTGTCCCTTTTTGTGACATTTTTGTATTTTTCAAACTGCTTTGTCTTTTCGGAAAAGTGAAAGAATCGGAGTGGGGGGTTGGTGGAAGCGCGTGCGTGTCGATGTGAGTGTCTCTTTGTGCCAACAGCCGGCCAGCCCCTGCACTGCAAAAAACACAACATGAAATAAATCTGAGTTACCAGGACTTGAACTCTAAATATTCATCTCAATTTGACTAGTTTAATTGTATTTACTGAAAATATTCAGTTGTGTTAACATCATTTTACTGCAATAGATACATTGGTTCATGATGTTTTTTTCGGTTTTCAAGTGCAATAAGATTTTTGTCATTACGCTTTTCTTTTATTGTCAGTGGTTGCTGAAATGAAACGTCATTTTTTATGCCAGATGCCCTTCCTGAGTAGACAGTGTAGTTCTGATCTCTGTTATAATGTAGTTTCCTCGTCAAAAACATACTTGGGGTTGTGTTTTGTTTCATTTACACATGTTTAACACACAAATCTTGCATATTCAGTTTGAGTTCTTCTCTCAAACAGAAAACATTTTGTTCCACCTTGTGATGTCACGGTAATACAAGCTCCATCATGTTTTTAAACTCTATACACCTTCACTACACTGTAAACTTGTATATATTACCAGAACTCATAAAAACTGAGTCAGTCGTTTACCTCAATTATTTTAAGTTAATGAACTTAAAAGTCACAATCTTCCAGAACTTAAAAGATTGGACGGCTACTTGTACCTTTTGAAAACAGCTCAATTAATAGTGCTCATTTAACTCAAGTCCAATATTTGCTTTTAGAGTTTTCAAACCATGGGAATAATTTAATAAATGTTCAGTTTTAAATGTAATACATGATTTTGTAGACACAATCCAGTACATCCAGCTGTAGTACACATATAGACACATCATAGTATAAGCACATTATACACACTGTAGAAGGGAGATTTAAACCCAGGTCCCTCATGTGAAAGTCAGAGATTTACTAGTCTAATCAATGTTATATAATATGTATATAGTTTAATAATACATACATACTCACATACATTACACTTTACAGTATACACATAGTACATCATACACACATTACATATTATTTTTAACTACTTATCTCTGCTAAGTTGTACCTCATCTATGTTTTTAAGTTTCATGCATTTATACCCACAATAGTTCCTTTTAATCTATAAGTATTTGTTAAAATTACTCAAAAAGAAGAACATGTTAAAGCAACTTGACATATTTAAGTTTGTAGGACTATTTCTAAACTTTGAGTATGCACAACTTAATTTAATTATTTTGAACATTTAGGTTTATAGTGTTGAATCATTTGCATCATTTCTACCCTGGAATTGCCGGTCTCTGTTGAACGAAAGGTTGAAAAAGGAGCTGTTAACTTGAAAACTACTGTTTCGTGACATCACAAGGTGGAACAGAGCATTTTGAGCTTTGGAGATGTAGAAAGACTAATAATACCTAACTCCAGGTGTGTTTTTGAGGAGGTAACAATATTATGACATGGTTCTTGCAAGAGTGAATTTTGCGCAAGAGTGAATTTTGTGTATTATAGAAGAAAGATCGCAACTGGATACGAACTGGTGACGATCTGGTTCAACGGCGAAAGTTGAAACCACTGCAACACATAATCCCATAATCCTTTTTCAATAATGATTTTTTTTTAGCATTTTAAATAATAGTAATAAAAAAGTCATGAATCATCTCAAATCATTTAAATCCAAGCAAATAGAATTAAACTAGTCAGAACTACTCAAACCCCTGTGTACTTTCAAAACAGTACTTTTAAGTTGTGTAGATTTGTGGTTTTTGCAGTGTGTCCAGGTGGCTGCGGCGTGACGTGTTCGGACTTTGTGTACGGGACAGCCTCGTGTGAGTCCTCTCTTCTGCCTGCCCCACCCGGACCCCTATCCCTCACCCCCCCGCCCGCCCCCGTACCCCTCCCCTTCCCCCCCTAACCTAACTCAGCCCCCGACCCCCATCCCGTCCCATCTCACACACACACACACACACACACACCTCAAAAGAGAGGGACAAACTGGTACATTCCTGGTTTGGAGCAGAAAAGATTGAATAAAAAAGAGAAAATGTTTAAGCACCGCTGTCTGGTACGTGTGGTTCATTCACGGGGGTGAGGGTCTGGACGGGTGGGGGTAGCGAGGGTGGGGGCAGGAGGGTCCATTCTTACACCCCGAGTGTTCAGTATAGATCAACATAATAAGTTAAGATAAAAAACCCTTTATTCGTTCCAGCAAAGTACAAAAAAAATCTTATTAAAGAGTCTGTACCTGATTTTTCCATTAACTTGAACTAAATGAGTCTTGCCCCAGTACACACAGATCGTATAAGCAGCTCTTAAAGGTTAAAATAAATCTGCTGCGTACCATCTGCATGGAATTACAAAGCAATTTACTATCTTTTAATCAGGAATTGCATGTTAGCATAGTAGTTGGTGTGAGCCCTCATCGCTGACAATTGCGAAAAGCTTTTATAAACGATGAGTGGTGAATAATTACGATGCTCTGAATGCATAAGTAAAGTGAGGACGAACTTTGGAACACTGCGAATAGTTTCAAACCAACTAGTTCTGTTTTTCACGTTGTTAAAAAAACACGCAGGGCCTTCCTTCTCAAAAACAGACCTGAAGTTGTGTTTAGCTTCATTCACACATGTTTGAGTACCGTATTTTCCGGGCTATAGGGCAGTGCTCTTAAGCCTCCAACCCCATCAAAAAACGACTGCTCACCGCACAATCCAGAGTGCCCTATACACGTATCCACTCGAGTGTCCCAGCACGACTTCAGTAAACTTCAAAGCCGCACCACACGCAAACACACACGGAGCAGACAGCGACCGCACAGCCAAAAACACCCACAGACACACTCATCACTCCACGCCGACGAGGAACGGAACGGAGGAACGAACCGAAAAAGCGAGTGCAATGTGCCACTTCTAGACACGACTGAACAACTGAGTCACTGCGAACACGCCGACAATCCGTTGGTCCCAGACAGCACCCTCCCTACACGCCACAACTGAACAAAGCCCAGGGTCACCATGAACGCCACAAACAAACAAAACCACTCACCCATCACACTGTTGGGTTTCCTTTAAAGTCCGGTGACCATTTAATGACAGTGCACCTTATAATCTAGAGCGCCCTATAGTGCGGAAAATATGTTAATCATTTATTATTAGTCTGTCTACATCTCCAAAGCTCAAAATGCTCTGTTCCATCTTGTGATGTCATGTAGAGGTAGTTCAGAGGCGACACTACCATTAGGCAAAAGTAGGCGGCAGCCTAGGGCCCCCAGACCTGGAGGGGCCCCCAACCAACTGCCCTCAGTGCCACAAATTTTGAAGGCCTCAGAGCAATTTGATTTTCTCTCAGTACATTACATTAAATGAGAGTAGTTTACTTTTAAACAATAATCACAAGAAAAAATAATAATCATATGTAATGGATGTAAACAACAATTGTACTAACAAAAAAAATAAAACTACTTTCAGTTCTAGTTATCTAGTAGACTTCTTAACTAATAATCCAATCCACCGTAATTCAAATAAATAGAGATGTGCATGTCTCAAGAACAATGGGGAAAATCAGATATATAAAATATTGATATATTTATATATATATATCAAAACAAAACAGAAAAACAGTGGATTATAGTGAGAGCCCCAAACTTAAGTTCACCTAGGACCCCCAAATTGCTAACTCCGCCACTGAGGTAGTTTTAACACCTAACTTTTCCAGGGCTAAAATTATCCAAATGATTTTAGTGAAGGTGTGTGAAGGTTTAAACACTACCACAAAATTACCACATGACATCAGTTCCAGTTCTAACCGGCAACTTCACAGCAAATATCTATTTTGTTTTTCATCAAACAAAGATAATTAAATTAAAAAATGTGTGTGTAACCACAAATTGTATGATATATGCAGATTTTGTAGAAATAATCAAGCACAGGGGTCTCTAACATTTTTCCTTTGGTGAACTACCTATAGAAAATGAAAATACCAGAGGGCTACTAGTTTTAGCGGTCACAAGAAATGCAGTAGCTATATAAAAGAGCAACGGTAAGCCTTGGATGAGGTACAGTGTGGCTACGTTCAGACTGCAGACTGAAGTGATCCAAATCAGATTTTTTTCTCCCCTATGCTCCTGTATCTGATCTTTTAATAACAGTCTGAACCACACAAATCAGATTTTTTCAAATGTGACCCAGACCACTTGGATATGTGCTCCTAAAACTGATACATATCTGATCTGTTGACATACGACTTCAGTCTGAACGGCCAGGTCACCTTCATCCCACCTACACGTCACAAATGTACCATATTTTCCGCACTACAGGTTGCACTTAAAAGCCTCTAATTTAATCAAAAATTGACTGCGCGCCTTATAATCCAGAGCGCCTTATATATGAATTTATTTGGGTGTCTTAGTACGACTTTAGTAAACTACAAAGCCGCACCACTTGCAGCATTACGGCTCCCGTAGTCAGGAGCATCATGGAGTAATACTTTTCATATCAAAATGCACCTGTCAAGAGACACACTTACAATGCCGACTTTAAACTCAACTTTATAAAATTAAAGTGCGTGGGAGCAGTGGATGAGAGAAGGAGAACACACATTCACCAAGACAGAGAGACAGCGTCAAGCGACTTACGCCACGATTTGCCAACGGATCGTGGACGCCTGGGCTAAGGATCAGGATCAACTGTGGTCCGAGCTTTCACCAAGACCAGAATCATCACTGAACTGCCAGGGAACAGTAACCACACTAACTCTACTGCTGGACGCCATAATCATCCAACTGTTTGAACAATGATGAGTTATTGTGAATACTCTAACAATTTAGCGTCTCAGACAGTATTTTTTTTTTTACGTTTACATGAGAGTTATTGTGAACGCGTTAAATAAAGTTTGACTGACTTATCTAACTGTTGTGTTTCGTTTAATGCGCCTTATAATCCAGAGTGTCCTATAGTGTGGAAAATATGGTACACAAACATTCTTCTCGTCATACAAAGACTGTGTATGATCTCCGTGTCTGTGAACTCTGTGCCAGTGAAGCGGTGAAGCAAATAGAAATCCGTTGTGATAAAGGTCTGTTTATTACGTTGAGTGTGAGCGTGAAGTGTGAAAGTTGTCAGCACTCACTTCTGAAAGTTGTGAAAAGCTCTTATAAACTCAACGTGGTGAATAATTAGGATGCTCAGAATGCATAAGGAAAGTGAGAAAGAAGTTCGGAGCGGCTAACCTTTTAAAATGAACTAACTCTGCAGGAATAATGAGGTAGAGCGCCTTAAAGCTCCAAGAATGAGCTCATACAAAGAAGTTGCTGAATGTGGAATAGTCTATTGTCTAAAATGACTGTTTTTAATGAGCTCTGTCATTGTGCTGTGAAGCCTTTTTATTTGGATAGAATCAGATTTGAAGTGTGTAATTACTGTTTAGCGTGCCGTCACTATCACCTTCATGGACACTTACAGACGCGTACGAGCTAATGCTAAGCTACAAGAAATGCTAATCATTATTTAGCCTCTTTTCTGGATCATTTGCTGTTATAAAGACATTGTCGTGAAACTGTGTGAAAAGACACTTGACAATAAAGTTTGATAAAGTTACAATAATAGTAGTTAGGGTAGTTGGCTGAACGTATTCTTTAGAGTTTGACATTTGCGTACGTTAGCAGCACATGTTCTATATAGGCAAGTTTCAGCTGACGTCATTGTTATTAAAAGCCCGTGTTGCATGCTGGGAAATATTTTGGTCGGAAACAAGAAACACGGTAGCGGTCAAACACAGTGTGTAACTTCGCGTATTTATCCCTGATAATGGTAAATTCCTGCTGCATTATCGGATGCACAAATAGAAGCGCGGAAGAAGGAAAATGTCTTTTTCGTATTCTGAGTGAAAAGAACCACTAACGGTGAATTAAACAGCTTTCAAACATTCGCAGAGCAAACGTAGAAGATCCTAACAAACCTTGAACTCCAACAAGTTCAACAACACATCGAGACTCTTGGAGATTTTCATCTTTTCTGCTGTGAATGGCCCAGGAGTTTCCACCAAGTCATTGTGGATATCGCTGAAGTGAATCTTTGGCCAGGTAGTTGCCGATTCTGACCAGAAAT